TGTGTGTGTGTGTGTGTGTGTGTGTGTGTGTGTGTTTGGGTTAGTTCTAATTAAACTATTTTAAACATAAGTGAACATATGAATTTGCTTTTGGCATCAAATGGTGAAATCTGAGATGGATCATGAGACAAGATTGCCAGTTCCTCCTGACGGTCTTATAAATGTATATATCTCACCTGGTTGCACTCTGAATCAATTCACTGTAGCTTGTTTATGGAACAAAAGAAGAAAAACAATACTTCTTTAGCTGACCAGCAGGTGATAGAAAGTCCCCACTAGAAGTGGGCTGTTGGGTTGCCCAACCTAATCAGGAAGCAATATGTCACTTAAACTGGCTTCCCACGGAAATCACTCTGGCCCACTGCCCATGTCTGGCTCCTATATAAGCATCTTGGATGTTGGCTTTGTACTAACGTGAATGGTCCAAAGGTCCTCTGAGGTTGAGTATGACAGCACCAAGAACCACTGAAGACACAGCACTTTAACAGTAGTTGCTTCTTTATCACCAGTTTAAACAAAAGCCATTTTTCTTACCTGCACTGTATCCATGTGGTAGAAAAGAACTCTGTTATTTTTGTTCCCAACTAAAATAGAACAATTCATCCAATGATATCAGCATCCTGATAGCCTGAAGGCTTAACTATCTGTCTAAAGCAATCTTATTTTGGTCATTATACCACAGTATAACGTAATATAAACTAATACAGTATAAATGATTTTTGCCTTCTGAAACACTTTCATGTTCATTATTGCTTGAGCCTCACATTGATTCTTAGAGAAGAGAAATTTTCTTCCCATTTTGCAGCTAGGCAAAGTAAGTAGAGCATGAGTTAAGTAGTAGAAAATCCAGCACTGGCAGTCAAGCACCAGAGAATCTGCCCCAGTAATTTTTAATGGTTTCCAGATTACAAACCACTTTCTTCACAGTTGCTGGCAAATAACCCCCAGCAGCTTGCCACAGTCTGGCTAACCATTTTATTGTTTCCCAACAACCATATTTTAAGCTGTTGAGATCCTCAATCCTTCCACTCCTGTCTTTGAGATTGCAGTAATATCAAGGGTCCTAGAGGCTTCCAAGTTATCCCACCTGAAACCGTCCTCTGCTTTCTAAATCCCTCACTGTCTTCCAGGTAGATTCAAAGTCCTTTCTTCTTTGAAAAGGCTTATTGTGGCAAAGTTATTTGTAGGGTATAGATTCCACCTTTGCTCTTTGAACATCTAGTGTACTTGTAATAACTACCTCATGAGGCGGAGTTTAATTGTTCCTTAATTTTGCCTTTGTCTTCCTCAAGTCAACTATAAACTCCTTAAATCAGTGGTGATGCCATGCATTTCTCACATAACCTCCCATAATTTCTTAGTATAGCAGTTAGCAGTCTGTGAATCCAGCCATTAATAGCTAAGTTTTTGCAATTTGGGTTGTTAAACCTCTGTGATTCTCCTTGTGATACACCAATCTTGCCAGTTAAAAAACCAAACGGATACTATAGATTTGGTCAAGAACTTCGAGCTTTCAATGAGGTTGTCATTCCCATACATCCTATAGTGCCAATCCCTATATGCTGTTAGCCTGGGTCCCATCCCTAGAGATGCCAATTAGTTTACAGTCTTAGATCTTAAAGATGTCTTTGTTTGTTTGTTTGTTTTGCATTGCAGTACTCCGTGATTCACAATTCATCTTCGCTTTTGAATGGACTGATCCTGACAGTCATTTGATTTATCAATAAACTTGGACAGTTCTTCCCCAGGTATTTAGGGGCAGCCCTTATCTGTTTGGAAATGCATTATCTAGAGAATTAAGGATGTTACACTTAAAAAAGGGCATCATTATCCAATATGTGCATGATGTGTTGGTTGCTAGCCCAACCGAAGGAAGCTTGGACGAAAATACCTTTAAGTTGCTTAATTTTCTGTGAGCTAATGGGGATAGGGTCTTACAACATACGGCCCAGATTTCAACTCAAGAGGCTAAATACTTAGGATATTTCCTAACCCCTGCACCCAGGCAATAGTTCCAGAACAAAAAGAAGCTATCTTGGGCATTCCACAACCCCAAACTAGAAAGCAGCTGCGGGCTTTTCTAGGGGTGTCAGGATTGGAGTGTATGGTCAAGCTTTTATATGATGCCCTGAAAGGAGTGAATGTAGATTCTTTAGAATGGAATAACAATTGTAAACAAGTTTTTAATGCTTTCAAGGAAAAATTGGGATCAGCTCCAGTCCTAGGGATCCCTAATCTTGATAAGCCATTTTTCCTTTAAGTGGCTAAGAAACAAGGAACCACCCTGGGTGTCCTTATCCAGAACTGGGAGATATCTGAGAACCAGTGATATATATTTTTTAAAACAATTAGACCATGTCATTTCAGGATGACCTGAATGCCTCAGGGCAGTTGCAGCAACTGCTCTTTTAGGAGACGAAGTCAATAAAATGGCTTTAGGACAACATCTGGAGGTTTTAACCCCACACCAAGTACAAGGAGTCCTAGAAGCTAAAGGACAACAGTAGATGAAAGGAAATACTTATTTAAATATCAGGCTTTGTTGCTAAACATTCCTCACGTAACCCTTAAGATACGCCAGACTTTAAATCCAGCTACCTATCTGCCTGAACCCACCGGCACCCTATATCATTCTTGTATACAAGTAATGGAGCAAGTTTATTCTTGCTGGCCAGATTTAAAGGATGAGCCCCTAGATAATCCTGAAGTAGAATGTTCTATAGATGGAAGTAGCTTTGTGCTAGAGGGACACAGAAAAGCTGGGTATGCCGTTGTCAATCAACACAAAGTAATTAAGTCTCAGGCCTCACCAACTTCTACCTCAGCTCAAAAGGCAGAATTAATAGCTCTTGCTAATAGCCCTGCAATTATTAATAGCTCATATTAATAGCCCTGCATTTGGGAAATGACTTAATAATTAATATTTGTACTGTTTCTATGTATGCCGTTCTGGTGCTTCATGCTCGTGGAAGGAATGGAGACTCCTAACTGCTAGGGGTTCCCCTAAGAAACATCACTTAAACATTTTAAATCTATTAGATGCTGTTTTGCTGACCAAGGAAGTAGCTATAATCCACTGCAGAGGGCATCAAAAAGGAGACTCTAGTGTGGCTAAAGGAAACTCCTTTGCAGATGCAGGAGCTAAGGCAGCTGCATTAAAGCAGCCAGTTGGACTTGTAGGCATGTTAGTGCCCTCTGTCCTGGTAATGACAGAACCAAGCTATACTAAAGAGGAATAAGAATGGGCTAAGGTCAGGGTTTAATTCAAGATCCTTCTGGATGACTTATCAATGACAACAAATTATTGATGCCAGGTGTTAATCAGTGGAAAATAGTTAAGCATTTGCATGACTCTATTCATTTGGGACGAGATTCCTTGTTTCAATTAAGGTCTGTCTTTCTCTCTTTTTTTTTTTTTTTTTTTGGACAGAGTTTCACTCTTGTTGCCCAGGCTGTAGTGTAATGGCACAATCTTGGCTCACCACAACCTCCACCTCCCAGGTTCAAGTTATTCTCCTCCCTCAGCCTCCCAAGTAGCTGGGATTACAGGCATGCGCCACCACATCTGGCTAATTTTGTGTTTTTAGTAGAGACAGGGTTTCTCTGTGTTGGTCAGGCTGGTCTCAAACTCCTGACCTCAGGTGATCCATGTGCCTCACTCTCCCAAAGTGCTAGGATTACAGGCATGAACCACCGTGCCCAGCCAATGTCTCATCTTTTTATAGGAAAAGGCTTACTTACTTAGAACAGTAAAGCAGGTAACTCAGTCCCGTGAACTCTGTGCCCAGAATAATCCAAATAACCAGTCTTTTCCTTCTCCTTTAGTAAGGCCTGTTCAGCATAGTGGAATATATGCCAGTGAAGATTGACCAGTAGATTATGCTCAGATGTCCCTATGCAAAGGGTTTAAATATTTATTAGTATTCATCAGTCCTTTACTGGTTGGACTGAGACTTTTCTTACCTGGTCTGAAAATACAAGATTTCTAACCTCCTTTGAAAGGCAATAATTCCTAGATTTAGGCTGCCTAAGAGCTTGTAAAACAATAATGGCTTATCTTTCACAGTGACAATTACCCAAAACATATCTTCGGCCTAGGAAGTAAGTACCTCCTTCATTTAGTATGGATGCCACAGTGTTCAGGAAAAGTAGAAAGAGCTAATCAAACTCTAAAAAGTACTATGCCAGGAAACATCAGAAACCTGACTATCTATATTGCCTGTAGCCTTGTTATGGGTTCAAGCTGTTCTCAAGAGAAATCTATAGTGCGACACTTTTGAAATGACGTATGGAAAGCCTTTCTTAACTACAGACTTCCTGCTAGACATAGATACTTTCAACTACAAAATTTTGTAATCAACTTAAGACAAATGCAAAAGGCGCTCCTTGAATATAGAAATCAAAGACTCCCTTCCCCTACTAGGGAAAGATAATATTGTTACAACCCAGCCAGGAGACTGGGTCCTATTAAAAACTTGGAAGGAAGGATCCCCAGCAGATCAACTTTCCTCCAAAATGAAAGGGATCCTATCAAGTTCTCCTTAGTACCCCAACTGCAGTTAAACTTCTAGGAATGAACAGCTGGGTTCACTTATCTCGAATGAAACCTGTCTCTTATAAGGTCCCACAGAACAAAAAAGACTGATCCCACTTATTCCTGTGGACCAACACATGACCTCCAGCTCCTGTTCAGAAACAAAAGGGATGGGTAGCATAAAGATATGGATTGGCATTCTAGTTTTGGGTATAAGCTGGAATCACACAAAGAGTAACTTCTTTGCTAAGTGGCCAGACTGTAGCCTCTCTACATAATCCAACAAACATTTGGGTATGTAGAGAATTGTCATTTTCCTTCACTTCCAGGTTGCCCTGGCATATTCAACCAGCAAACGTAAGTTTATGGGGATTTTATTATTACTGGGAAACTGAGCATTACACATATCATCCCTCTTTTCTCATGTACCATAGCCACACAGGCCTTAGCCCCTTCCTCTCTTATGGAGAGACAAGAAGGCACCTTTTTCATCTAATTAAGAAACAGTGAAACGGCACCTTGACTTCAGGTTATACTGTACCCAATAGACTTGGGTGGATGACAGTTGTTCAAGCACAGGTATTAGGCAAAACACCTCTATGTTTTGAAAGGTGCAATAATAGTCACCACCTGACTGAAACCCATGATATGGGATGGTTGCCACCTCAACAATGTAATCAGACCCTTCTTTCAACAGACCAAATGTGGGTAGGATGGCAACACAGTTTGCAAAAAATGGATGCCCACCCTTCCCCTTGGGGATGGTTACATGCTTATGGAACTCACGACTGGTTGTATTTACTTTATAATTGGGCTTGAAGGTGTACATGGAGTTGTCCTTATCTCCTGGGACTTATCCTCACCAAATTGGACTCTCTCCCGTCTAACTGGGAAACTGTAAATGCTCACTATACGGCAACAAAAACAGGCTTCTTGGTGGTTCTACCTGCTGGCTAGGTTTTCCCCACAGGCAGCCATAATCAATACCAAGTTACAAGTTAAAGCCTTAGCCAAGCACATGGCTGCAGCTTTCAATAATACACGCCATGTCCTTACCCTCCTAACTGAGGAAACTTCTCAGATTAGGCAGGTGGCCTTACAAAACCATGCAACTTTGAACATTTTAACAGCAGTCCTGGGGGAACTTGTGCTTTGATCAAAACCGAATTTTGGACTGGGTGTGGTGGCTCATGCCTGTAATCCCAGTACTTTGGGAGGCCATGGTAGGCAGATCACCTGAGGCCGGGAGTTTGAGGCCAGCCTGACCAACATGGAGAAACCCCATCTCTACTAAAAATACAAAATTAGCCAGGCACGATGGCACATGCCTGTAATCCCAGCTACTCGGGAAGCTGAGGCAGGAAACTTGCTTGAACCCAGAAGGCAGAGTTTGTGGTGAGTCAAGATCACGCCATTGCATTCCAGCCTGGGCAAGAAGAGTGAAACTCCGTCTCAAGCAAACAAATAAAAAACGAATGGTGTGTGTGTGTATCAGACTATTCACATAATATTACTAGGGCTATGAAAACTCTAGACACTCATATCTCTGCCACTGATGCACTGTCAGTTGACCCTATATCAGCTTGGTTCCAACCACTACCCAGTTCTTGGAAGCCTTCCTGTTTAGTTTACTTAGGATGATTTTACTTATTTTGCTTTACTGTTGTGGAATATTTTGCAATTG